GAAGTGCTAGATGATTTCCCCTAGGCTAAAAATACTTTTTTTTTTTTTTTGGTATCAGGGATTGAATTCAGCAGCACTCAATCACTGGGCTACATCCCTAGATGTATTTTGTACTTTATTTAGAGACAGGGTCTCTCTGAGTTGCTTAGCACCTTGCTTTTGCTGAGTTGGTTTTGAACTCGAAATCCTCCTGTCTCAGCTTCCTGAGCTGCTGGGATTACAGGTGTGTGCCACTGTGCCCAGCATTAAAAATGCTTTCTAATAGAAAACTTCACCTAATCCTTAATCTAGCTCCCCTTCTTCTAAACTTCACATGGATTGCTGATCTCCATTTTAATAAGATAATATTATACAAAACATCACATTTAAAACAGCACAGTGACTGATGCGTACCTGTATTTGTGCCAGTTGAAGGCAAATAAAACCAGCTGAAGATCTCTCTTCAGTCACTGTGAAACAACTCTGGCAGGGATTTCGGTGAGTAATCTGGTATTGAATGGAAGGATTGATGACTTCCAGTGTCTTGTAGTCTTATTTCAAATATCAGGTTCAAGCTCCTTATTGCAGGGTCCCATGAGGCTGCTGCAAGGGATGAATAAGTTCAGTTTTTAAATTTCTATTTTTACATTATATAATACTTTAACAATTATGCTTTTTTCCTCCCATAAAAGAAACAAGAACATATTTCAATTGGCTTTCACATGAAAGGGAGAGATCAGCACCAGGGAAATAAGGATTCCTGGCCCCTAAGTCTAAGTAAGTGCAAAAGGAAACCTGGAAGATGTGAATTGACTCTGCACAGTAGCCACACCTCTTTGTAGCAAACGTAGCATGGGAATATGGCAGAAAGACACCTGGACAGAGAATCATCAGAACGCTTAAGTTAGGTAAAATGCATGGCAAATGCAAAGCAAAGGTGAAATGGCATCCCAAGCATGACAATGAGAGCAAAGTCTGTAGTCAGTGCCAAGGGTGGGACAGGGAATGTGGAAGGAGTTTTATAACACAAAATCACTGATTTTTTAGAACTCTTTTACAAATCACTATCTAGATGCAGCACTCCTTTCAGAAGCATTCATTTTGAATCACTATGTCGACATATACGATTTTGCAATGTGCAAAATCACCACCCTGCCTTAAGAGTTGCAATTTATCTAATATTTCAAAAATGGTTGAAACAACTATCTTGATAGGTATTATCAGAAAAACCAGTTAGGCCAGGCATGATGGGGTATGCCTATAATTCCAGCTACTTGGGTGGCTGAGGCAGGATGATTGCAATTTGAGGCCAGCTTCAGCAACTTAGGGATACCCTATCTCAAAATAAAATTTTAAAAAGGGCCGAAGAAGCCAGATATGGTGGCACATACCTGTAATCCCAGTGGCTCAGAGGCTGAGACAGGAAAATGGTGAGTTCAAAGCCAGCCTCAGCAATGGCAAGGCACTAAGCAACTCAGCAAGACCCTGTCTCTAAATAAAATACAAAATAGGGCTGGAGATGTGGCTTAGTGGCAGAGTGCCCCTGTTTTCAATCCCTGGTTACCAACCCCCTCAAATAAAAGGGCTGAGGATATAGCTCAGTAGTAAAGTACCCTTGGGTTTAGTCTCTAGTACCAAAAAAAAAAAAAGAAAGAAAGAAAGAAAGAAAAGGAAAAAGAAAACCCATTAGCAAGTTTATTAGCAATAAAAGACTTAACTTCTCTTTCTTCCCAGGAGCTCACCAATAGCAAGATCAGTGAAAATGTTGTTTGTTTTAAAGCTTTTTTAGGCAGTAATGGGGATGGAACTGAGGGTCTCACACATACTAAGCAAGTGCTGTACAGTACCACTGAGCTACATCCCCAACCCTTTAAGCATTTTTTTCAGCCTTCAATCTAACTTTCAGGCACTTTTTTGTGGGGTACTGAGGATTGAACCCAGAGGCACTTTACCATTGACCTACATCCTAAGCTCTTTATTTTTTATTTTAAGACTAGGTTTTGGGGCTGGGGATGTGGCTCAGGCGGTAGCACGCTCGCCTGGCATGCGTGCGGCCCGGGTTCGATCCTCAGCACCACATACAAACAAAGATGTTGTGTCCTCCGAAAACTGAAAAATAAATATTAAAAAACTCTCTCTCTCTCTCTCTCTTCTCTCTCTTTTAAAAAAAAAGACTGGGTTTTGCCAAGTTGTTGAATCTGGCCATGAACTTAAGATCCTTCTGCCTTAGCCTCATCAGTTGCTGGGGTTATAGGTGTGCATAAGATGTTTGTGTCTCTTCATGCATACACCAAAAAAAAAAAAAGCCATATGAGGAAGAAGGTACCTACCAAGCACTAAGAACCCAAGTATGTCAAGCCTTTCATCCTCCAGAACCATAAGAAATGAATATTTGTTGGTTAAGCCATTGAGTTGATGGTATTTTTATAGCAACACAAAGTGATTAAAAATACACCTTCAAGAGCATATTCAGGTTCCTTTCAGTAGAGATTCTTATACATTTGCTAGAATTATTGGTTTAGTTTATTCTCACTCTGCTTAGTTAAAAATTACAACATTCTTGTAGATTTTAATTTTGGAAACTGCTTTTTCTCATTTTGCTCATCATGATCTTATTCAAAATTATAATATTCCCTTCAAGTTACTTCCACCTACAAAGTTGTTTGTAGCTCAAGATCACACTTTGATTGATTGGGTGACCCAAGGTTGACATATTTAGAGGAAAGAAAATATCTGTGTGTGTGGTTTTCTGGGGACCAAACCAAGGATATTGCACATGTTAAAGGTGTTCTATCACTAAGCTATATCACCAAACCCAGAAAATGCCTTTTATTTGACCATCCTCACTGGCTAGTGATTTAGTCAAAGGGTTGTGTGGGAATTATGCAGAATAAAAGTGTCCTAACTTCCTCTTTATTGAGTAATGAAACATTGTAATGAAAATGCATGTTGTGAGGCTGGGGTTGAGGCTCAGCGATAGAGCGCTCAGCGATAGAGCACTCGCCTCACACGTGCGAGACTCTGGGTTCTATCCTCAGCACCACATAAAAATAAACAAGTGAAATAAAGGTGTTGTGTCCAACTACAACTAAAACATAAAATCTAAAAAAAGAAAATGTATGATGTCAGGAACATAGTTTTTATTGTATTTATATAGATAGTTTCACTCAGTTGTATGTGATATTTATGCAAGGGCCATGTTGATCTTTTGTGTATCATTCCAATTTTTGTAAATGTGCTGTTGAAGCAAGCACAAGAACATAGTTTTGAAAGACTCATTCTAAAAATGATTTTCTTGTGAGCCCTACATCTTTATTAACTTTAAATTTCACAGATGACACAGTGTTCACTTGCACACTTTTGGGCAACATTTTTTTTTTTTTGTACTGGAGTTTGAACCTAGGGTCATGTAACCACTGAGCCACATCCCCAGCCCTTTTAATTTCTTAAATTTTGAGACAGGGTCTCACTAAGTTGCTTGGGGCCACCCTAAATGGCTGAGGCTGGCTTTAAGCTCTGGATCCTCTTGCCTCAGCCTCTGGAGCCACTAGGATTAGAGGAGAGTGCCACCACACCTTGCAGGCAGCTTCTTTTTTCAAAGGACCATTGATTTTAACTTACTTAGAGTCTCATCTTCATTTGCATGTAAAAAGCCAAAGAGGTGCTCTTTGTTTCTTTTTCTCCTGGGCTGGTATCTTTTGTCTGAGTAGTTTCTCACAATGACTTCCTAAAGATGTCAGTTTCATCCCCTTTTGTACTACTGACTTAACACAGATTCTCTTTTTGATTCACAGGGACCATTTCTGGGCAAATGGTTCAACACTTGGTAAACACTGAGAATTTAGAGAATACTGATGATCTGATATAATCAGGTTCTTTGGAAGAGGACTCAGTAAATATTTATAGAATACCCCTCTTACCCAGAGGACTCTGCTAAGCACTGCTAGAGATAACAATTTACGGAGAGATACTAGATGAAAATAAGACCCCTGTCCTTCAGGGAAGCATAAAAAGTAGAAAATGCATAGGATATGGCAACAGGAGACCTAAACTCCTGTCTTAAATCTGCCACTAGTAATCCCTGCAATCCTTAGGAAGTAATGTCATACTTTTCATTTTCTTTCTTCCTTCTTTTGTCTTTTTTTTTTTTTTTTTGTGGCATTGGGGATTAAAACCAGAGCCTCATGCAAAAATTCTACCACTGAGCTACAACCCAAGCTTCTTAATTTCTTTATATGTAAAAGAGAAATGTAAATAAAACCTACTTCAAAAGGTTAAAATGTACCTAATAAGAATAAAGCAAGATAATTGTGGGTAAGGACTTGCTAACAAACCAGAAAACTGTTTTAAAAATGTAAGGAAATGTTGTTCCGGATCTAGTGAGGGGCCCTACAAGGACCAAACTGCTTTACTCTTGGAGGCGGCTGACAAGTTTAGTGAGGACAGCTCTAACTCTCCGGGACTCAGGAAGGCCCACGGCAAGGTGCTTGTAGCAGGGTGTACAGGTGTCCCCACCTATGTGAGCTTTACGTGGTCCTCTGTAGAAAGGGCTACCTGTTGCTGGGAAGCCAGCAGAAACAACGTGGATTCGCAACACTGCAAATTGGGGACAGGAAACCTTGGCACCAGAAGTCAGTAGGCTACTTCGCTTCAAGGTAACTGACGGTTTGCGGGGCTATCGTAGACTTGCAGTAGACCTGGAGACTCGGTGTCATTAATCCCAGTGCAAAACTGGAGCTGGAAGCAGGATCCTTCAGGATGGCAAGGACTCGAGGGACAGTTCCTGAGTTGGCTAGGAAGACACTTCACAGGTAGAGGTGGGAAGATGACTGGGCGTGGCTGTCAACGCAGTTACCGGAAGCGCATATTTCCTTTTCCGGTTAGGGTTCAGACCACAGATCCGAGACCCAAGAAATAGGAAGTTGGGGTGCGGTGTTGGGGAGGTGGAGAGACTGGGTGGGTGTCTGCTTTTTCAAGGCCCCTGCTCCCCAGAGGCCTTGGAGCTTCTCTCGCCGGGCATCACGCGTTTTCTTTACCTGGCCTCCCCGAGTGGCGCGCGAGTGGAGTTCCGCTCTACAGAGCGGCGGGGAGGCGTGGAGACTTTATAGTGGAACTGAGGAAAAGGAAAGTGGCCGCCACCGAAGCCCAGAGGTGACTGGAGGTAACGGAGAAACAAATCTACCCTTTGGATTCGGTTGGCGAGCCCCCGAGAGACAGCGGTCGCTCCTGCCTTTTGCAGCCGTTGGGGTTGCTGCGTGGCGGCGAGTGGGGGCGGGGATGGGACTGCGTCTTTCAGTATGCGGTGGCTTCGTTGCCAGGCGGCAGATCCGCGGGAGAGCGGGCGGGACTTGTCATCTGCACGGCCACTTTTAATCTCAAGAAGCAATCTCTTTATACCCAATGTACAAATATAACCCAGAGATGCTGGTGAAATACACTCAGACTACTCACATGCAGAGTGCCTACCGGCATCCCTGTGGTCTCTCCATAAGGTGCAGCAAATTGGTGGTGGGGACTGGGGGCAGTTGTGTCCACCACTGTACCTAGCAAAAATTCCGGATTTCCACTAGCTTATGAACATAACGCTAGAGAAGGGGCCATTTCAGCCCCAAAGACACTGGATTCTGTTGACACAAAAATCTAGGAAGTGTCCCTGTATCTCCTGAGCCTGCCTGGACAGCAAGGAACCAACCATTTCTTTGAATACCCATGACATTCTGAAAAGAATTTTTTCACTGTCACTGCTGATCAGATTGTCAATTCTATCCTCAGACTTGAGGATAGGGAAAGTCATTTCCTGAGGAACTGCAAAGTCAGGAGAAAGGTTACTCTTACTCAGATCCTCCCTGTCTATAACAACCTTAATGCATTCATCCTTCCTTCCCTCCCTTCCTTCCAGGTCTCCCTTCGTTCCCCCTCTTTCTCTCCCTTCCATCCTCCCTCCCTCCCTCTCTTCCTACCCCCCTTTCTGTTTCTTTCTGTCTCTTTCTACCTGGCATTTGGATATATTATAAACAAAGGCCAGCTGTAAGTTTTTTTTCCAGTTAAAGTAAGCACAAGAAATAAAAGACAGGTACAAATCTCCACATGCCCTTCATAAATCTTCCAAAGAAGTGCAGCTGTCCCCAAATTTAATCTGGTTGCTTAGTGGGAGAACATTTGCTGAGCAGAATAAGGTTACTTTTTTCCTAATCATACCTCCAATCTCTGTTTTTCTATCAGTATTAATACAGTGGAATGAGAATAGCAAATGGTCCATGAAGTAAAGGCTTCAGTCTTCACAAAAAGATGAAGCAGCATAGAAGTTATTTTTGTACTGACTAGAGCCGAAAGACTGGGATGATCTGTTAAAATTTGGAAAAGCTCAAATATGCTCTAATTGAGAAGGTGTAACAGGAAGCACACAGATTAAGTATTGGATAATTTCAAAGCTGCTTTGGGCCCAAGGGTGCCTGTTTTCTTACCCACCAACCTTTCTCAAATGGAAAGAAAAAAATAAAAAGAACAACCAAAAAGCAGGAATGGGGGAGGAAGACATTGTTGGACATTTTTCTTCTGTGAACTGTGCTTAGTTTCAAAGTTGAGTAACAAAGAAGAAAAACATACTTCTTAAAGTAACCTGTGATCATGAATGTTCTAATACTTGGCAGTTGATTTTAAAGGAGGAGGGTAAGGAATTTCATTTTTCTCTGATAGTAATTAGCGATTGAATATGTGTCATGTGGCTTTCTTTTTGACATGTACTTTTTTTCTGCTCTCCCTCAAGTGCTCTTAGGAAGAAGATCTGTACATTGGTTTTGTACCAAGCCTGATGGGGCCTCAGTTGTCAGAAATGGCACCAGGGAACTGTCAGTTCCACACACAGGAATAAAACTGTTTCTAGAGCAAATGATGATGAGTGAGCTGAATGTAGATGCGTGCTTGAACCCCCACATGGGGGCTATGTTCTGGGAGACTGAAGAAGCTGTGCAAGAAGGCTCCAGTCAGAGGGAGAAATACAGCCCACAAATAGAAAGCCTTCATCCTGAGAGTGCCCGCCAGCGCTTCAGGAGCTTTTGTTATCTTGAAGCACCTGGGCCACTAGAAGCTGTTAACCAACTTCAGAAATTATGCAATCAGTGGCTGAGGCCAGAGACCCACTCAAAAGAGCAGATCCTGGAACTGCTGGTGCTAGAACAGTTCCTGACCGTTCTTCCCAGGGACATCCAGAACTGGGTACAGAAGCATCATCCACAGAATGTTAGACAGGCTGTGGTCCTGGTAGAACGCTTGCAGAGAGAACCTGGTGGAACAAAGAATGAGGTGAGAAGAAAGATTCCTTATATGTGCATTAAAATAGGATAAAGGTGGATATGTGTGGGTGGGCGTTATCAGGGAATGAGATGGATGAAGTCACACTTCTCTTGTGTGGAACTGAAGTCACAGTCATGCAGCAATAGTCAGTCAATAGGTTTCAGAGTTCCTGGCAGAGTCTTTTCTGGCCTTAGAGGGGAAAATGCACTTTTCCTTCTTTAGGGCCAGGATAAATTGGGGGATAGTGAGCCTAGTTTGGCATGGCCAAGGAGATAAGACTCAAGTGCTTAGAAATCAAAATAAAAGACAAGAAATAGTTGGGAAAGGGGAAACATTCCAAAAAGTGGATAGCACTTATAGAAACCAAAGGAGAGAAAGGGTAGCAAACAAAAATCAAAATCAAGTAACTCTGGGGAGATATCAAATTGAGGGAAGAAATGGAAAGCAAAAAAGGAAACAAAAATGGAAAGAAGAAAATGCCAATAGAGAAGTGGAGGGAATTGGGATGATGAGGGGCAGTGTCTTCTACTGGGAACACATACCTCTGTGCTGGGAAAAAAGAATCCTCTCTTAGTGGGACCACATGTGTTTGACCTGCTTGAGAGTGGAGAATCAAGGTATGTCTTTGGGAGATGACAGCACACTTCCTATACATAGCAAAGTACCTGGAGGGATATAGGTAGGGCAGAGCGTATTTTTGGTATCTTACTGCAACCAAATCATGTGGAGGGAGGTTGGAGCCAATCTCTTCCCTCGTTTTCCCTTTCATTGGATCTCCTTTCACCATGAAATCCTTCCTTGTCTATAGGAAGATTGAAAGATCTGACTGACAAGATAAATACTTGTTAATTCAAATCTTTATCTTTGGGAAAAAATTTGAAGATTGAAATCCACTAAGGCAGGGATCCAAGTCAAAAAAGCAAGCTAATGAAGGCAATGTGAGAACAGCCACCCCACCTAACCCCGCTAATGACTTGAACTGTGTCTGGGTACACAGGGTAGGGACTCTTGGCATGAAGGAGGGGAAACTGGAAGTAGGTACAGCTTTTTTCATTTTATCATAATTTTCTTAGATTCTGTGTATACTTCTTCATAAGAACATAGCAACACATTTTCTCTTCATCCTTTGTATTACTTCTTTTAATATCACACACTCCCCAAATCTGTGCTCTCTCTATTCTAGTGCCTCCCTCCTCCTCTACCACCAAACTCAAAGTGAGTTCTGTGCTAATGAGGATGGGGATTATTTCTAGGTCACAGCCCATGAGCTGGGAAAGGAGACAGTGCTCTTGGGAGGAACAGCAGTGGCCCCAGGCTTCAGGTGGAAGCCAGCAGAGCCCCAAGCAATGGGTGTGTTCCAGAAAGAATGTTGCAATATATACCAGGTACTTCAAGAACTGCTGGGCTGGCATACTCACAAAGAAACCCAGCCTGTATATAAAAGAGGTGAGGTGCTTCATAATAATTATTTCCTTCTGGGAGCTGTGATAGTAATTGGTTTAGCTAGAATTTGTGAGAATTTTCCAGGTGCCCAGCTGTGCCTTGCCAGTTATGGTTTCCCAGGTGGGAGTGCAAAAGGTGGGTGAAGGTGGGAATTGGCCTGAGGTGCAGAGATTTTCAAACCACAGAACTCTTATATTCACACCACAGTCTGTATTAGAAATCTGAGAAGAAAGAAGATGACAAAACAGGGACAAGTGGGACCATTATACCCTTATAAGTTGCAGGAGAAATTGGGATCCAAAATGGGCTTAGAATGTGAAGAAAATGACACCAAGAAAGAAATAAAAATCTCCAACGTTTCCTACTGTACACCAGGGGACCTTTGTACTTTGTATTCAAATGTCTCTAATTCTTGCTCAGTTAGGTGAACAATTTGTTTTATAAGATTTAATCTAAGGCTGAGGTTGTGGCTTAGCAGTAGAGTACTTGCCTAGCATGTGTGAGGTGCTGGGTTCCATCCTCAGCATCACATAAAAATAAATAAAAAATAAAGGTATTGTGTCCAACTATAACTAAAAAATATTTTAAAAGATTTAATCTACTTACTAGATTACCTTTTATTAATTTATCCCATGAAATCTGGAGAAATAGTGATCTGAGGAACTGGTTCTATGAAGGGTGGATATCTGATTGCTATTTCCCATGAGATGACAACTCTGGACATCACACACAATGCTTCTCACAGTGATCCATCTTTCTTGAAAGTGTCCCAACATTCTGTATTTTAGAATCAGCTCATGATGTTTGTAAACAGGAAAGAGAGAAATTTTCTCTGGCTCTTTTCCACCCACAGCTGTGCATACTCCACAGATTTTAGCCCTTTCTGAGCAGAAAAGCATCAAAGACTGGAAGATGGCATCAGAGCTCATCTGGCCTGAGTCCCAGGTGAGCTGCACTTTCCAGCTTTCTCAGGCAGACTCATCTCACTTTTTCCTGCTGCCTACAACCCATTAACCTAAGGTATTCCCAGCAGGTATTCTGCAGTGTGTTAGCCCCAAATGTTCTCCAGGTAACTGGGCTTGGCACAATGGGAATGGGAATTGGGTATCTCCCAGGCTGTTTACGGATCTGCTTGGCTCCTTCCTTTCTGCCATCTCACTCCCACCACCCCCTAAATCTTGTACTGCTAACTTCTTCAGCACCTGCCCTACTATGTAATTCAGAGATGGGTAGTAGGATAGCTTCTCCAGTGGCAAGTATTCAACCAAAACCTGTTCTCTTCTTTAGAGTTTGTTGACATTTGAAGATGTGGCTGTGTATTTTTCTGAGGAAGAATGGCAATTTTTGGACCCTTCTCAGAAGACCCTCTACAATGATGTCATGCAGGATAACTATGAGACTGTCATCTCTCTAGGTAAAGATTTTTTTCTCTTTGTACACAAGTTGAAAAATATGTCCTCAGTTTTTGGAAACTACATCCCTTTGAGAGAGCCCTTGTGTTCCAGCACCTTATTGTTTGAATTTGATGGTGTGGAAGAAAGGCACTTCTGTATTCTTTTTTTGTTCTTTAGTTGTAGATGGACACAGTAAATTTACTTTATTTTTGTATGGTGCTGAGGATAGAACCCAGTGCCTCATGTGTGCCATTGAGCACTCTACCACTGAACCACAACCCCCAGCCCAAGGCACTTCCATATTCTAAGTAGAATTATCGATCTGTTGATAAGGCCCTTACCCCATAAACCATATCATTCCCTTCTTAGTAATGGGCATCACTATTTATTCAACTGCTCAGGCCAGAAATCTCTCGGTCACACTTTTTAAAAAGTTTTTTTTAATAGTTATAGATGAATAGAATGCCTTTATTTCATTTGTTTATTTTTTTATGTGGTGCTGACAATCGAACTCAGTGCCTCATGCATGCTAGGCAAGCACTCTGCACTGAGCCACAACCCCAGTCCCTCTTAGTCACTCTTTATTCCAGTCTTTCTGTTATATTCTACAGCCAGTCAAGCAACAAGTCCTCTTTGCTCTGTCTTCAAATGTATCCTGAATCCAACCATGTCTCACACTCTTCCACTCTTACCACCCTAGTTGGAGCCACTGTCACCTCTAACCAAGTCTACCTTCAATAACACTAGATTCCTATTCCCCACATCATTTGCCTCTGTCTTCCTTAGGTTAAGTTCCTAGTTTCCTCACTGCATTTCTTCCCACATCCATAGTAGAATGTAAAGATGATATTGGATCCAAAATTCTGCCCACTTAAACATTTGAAATAAAAAGTTATAAAAAAAGAGTTATTCACTCTTCCTGAAAATAGTCAGGAATTAAGGTGGCAGTTCATGACTTCAAGGTTTTATTCTCAGAATATTATTGTATTTTAAAGTGATCTATTTAAAGCAAGAAGAACCATAGATCGAAGTTCTCCAAGAGTACAAGGAAAGTCTTGGAGCATTTCCTACAGGTAAGTATATTCATCGGAAGAAGAGAAGTATTCTTTGGTAGGAACTTTATAGGGGTTTAATATCTTAAGATTCTGCTCTTATATTTTTCATTGAAATTTTTATTGTAGTTATTTTAGATTCACATGCAGGTTTAAAATATAATATAAAAGAGAATCTGTGTATACATTACTCAGTGTCTGCAATGATAACTTTTGCAAAAGTATATCACAATCAGACTATTGCTATTGATGTGACCTACTGATCTTAAGCAGATTTCCCAAATTTTACTCTAATTGTTGTATGTGTCTATTATTTCTGTACAGTTTTATCACGTGTAGATTTATGTATTCACCACTATAGTCACGACCATACTGGATAGTTCCCTTACCATAAAATTCCCTCCTATTGCCCTTGCATAATCACATATACTTCCATCCCATTCCCCACTAATCCATTCCAACTGTTAATCTGTGAACATTCCTAACATTTTGGCATTTGAAAAATCTTATATGAATGGAATCATGAAATATGTGGTTTTGGGGGATTAGATTTTTTCATTTAGAATAATTTCCTAGAAATTCGTCTAAGTTATTAACATGTCTCAATGGCTCATTTCTCTTTAACCACTGAGTAGCATTCCACATAACTATCTTATATAGGTTTTTCTCCAGAGTGTTCATTTATCTGGGACACATGCTTCAAGGGTAGAATCGCTGTTTCATATGGTAATTGCATGTTTAAATTTATAAGAAACTGCCAAACTGTTTTCCTCAGTGTCTGTACCATTTTACATTTCTACCAACAATATATGAGTAATCCAGTTTCTCTCTACATCCTTGCCAGTGTTTAGTCTCAATAATTTTTAAAATTTTAGTCATTCTGATATGTGTAATGGTATCTCACAGTGGTTTTGATTTGTGTTTCCCTAATGGCTGCTGATGTTTGTTTGATATCTTCTCATGTGCTTATTTGTCATCTCTTACTCTTCAGTGCAATGTCTTTTGGCCATATTTTAGATGGGTTGTTTATTAACTGTTGACTTTGGGGAGTTCTTTATATAGTGTAGATTCTAATGTTTGTCAGATCAATGATTTGCAATTATTTTATCCCAGTCTATATATTGTCTTTATCCTCTTCCCATGGGTTTCCACTCAGTAAGATTTTTTTTTTTTAAAGAGAGAGTGAGAGAGAGGGGGACAGAGAGAGAAAGAGAGAATTTTAACATTTATTTATTTTTTCTTAGTTCTCGGCGGACACAACATCTTTGTTGGTATGTGGTGCTGCTGAGGATCGAACCCGGGCCGCACGCATGCTAGGCGAGTGCGCTACCGCTTGAGCCACATCCCCAGCCCTCAGTAAGATTTTTAATTTTGATGAGGACCAATTTTTCCTATTATAGATTGTTTTTGTATCAAGTCTAGAATTCTGACTAGCTTATCCCTAGATCCCCATGATTTCCTCCTAAAACTTTAATAATGTTATATTTTACATTTAACTCCATGATCTATTTTTGAGTTAGTTCTTCTTGGTTTTTTTTTTTTTTTTTTTTGGTACTGGAGATTGAACCCAGGGGTGCTTAACCACTGAGCCACATCACCAGCCCTTTTATATTTTATTTAGAGACAGGGTCTCTCTGAGTTACTTAGGGCCTCATTAAGTTGCTAAGGCTGGCTGTGAACTCTCGATCCTCCTGCCTCAGCCTCCCTAGATGTGTGCACCACCATGTCCGGCCTTGAGTTAGTTTTGAATGAAGTGTGAGCTTTAGGTTGAGGTTCATTTTTATTTTTCTTCTTGCCAATGGAGGTCTAATTACTTCAGCATCATTTGTCGAAAATACTGTCCTTCCTCCATTGAATTGTCTGGCATGTTTATGTTCATTCTATTCCACTGAGCTCTGTATCTGTCCTTCTGCAAATATTGCACTCTCTTGATTACTGTAGCTGTATTGTAAGCCTTAATATCTATCCAGCAAAGTGTCCTACTTATTTCTTCATCAAGATTCTCTTACCTATTGTAGGACCTTTGCCTTTACATGCAAATTACAGAGTAAGTTGAACTGTGTCTGAAGTAAATTGTGTTTTGCCAGAAATTACATTAAATGTAATATTAGTTTGAAAGGGATTGTCATGTTTATTGTGTTGATTCTCCCAATCCATGAACACAGTATATCTCTATTTATTTAAGTCTTTGATTTCTTTCCTCACTTTTTTATAATTTTCAGTGTATAGATATTCTACATGTTAAGTGCATGCATAAGTTTTTCATTTTCATGGAACAATTCCTTTTATTTTCTTGCTTATTGCATTAGCTTCAACTTCTGGTACTATGTTGAATTAGAGTGGCAAGAGAAACATCTTTGACTTGTTTCCAATTTAGCATGAAAACATTCAGTCTTTCACCATTACCTAAGATATTAGCACTGTTTTTTTTTTGTTGTTGATATTCTTTATCAAGTTGATATAATTCCTAATTTTACTACTGTTTTCATCATGAATGGATGTGGTATTTTGTCAGATGCTTTTTCTGTGTCAGTTGATAGGTACATATGATCTTTCTTCTTTAGTTTGTTGAAATGGTGGATTATGTGGATTGATTTTCATATGTTGAACCAGATTTGCATACCTGCAATAAATCCGGCTTTGTCATGGTATATAAATCTCATAACTTAACTGCAATCTCATTGACTTACTGCATTCAGTTAGTCAATATTTGCTGACAATTTTTGTGTTTAAGTTCATGGGAAATGCGACTATAGTTTCCTTTTTTACTATTATCTTTGAATGTTTATAGTATCAATGTGATACTCGTCTTATAAAATGAGTTGGGTAGTATTTCCTCCTCTTTTTTGGAAGAGATTACATAAAATAGTTGTTAATTCTTTGAATGTTTGGTAGAATCCTCCAATGACACCATCTGTACTTGGAGATTTTTTGAGGGGACGACTTTTAAATTGTGAGCTCCATTTGTCTTTAATGGTCAGAGTACCATTCAGGATCTATTTCATATTGTTTGAATTCTGGTATTTGTAGTTTTTTTAGGAATTAGTCCATTTTAACCAACTTAAAATTCATGAATGTAAAATTCATAGAATTCCCTTACTTTCTTATTTACAGAGTATATAGTAATACACTATTTCATTCAAGATATTGGTGATTTGTGTCTTCTCTTTCTTTTTGTCAGTCTTTATAGAGGTTTACCAGCTATTTTTTTTTAAGAATGGGCTTGCTTTTAGTTTTATTTTGGTTTCTGTCCTTTATTATTTTCCCTTTCAGCCTGCTTTGAGTTTATTTTAGTTTTAGTTCTTTGAGGTAGGAACTTAGATTATCGATTTGAGATACATTTTTTTTGTACTGGGGATTGAACCCAGGAATACTTTTCCACTGAGTTACAATCCCAACCTTTTTTATTTTGAGACAGGGTCTTACTAAGTTGCCCAGACAGGCCTCAAATTTGCAGTCTTCCTGCTTCATCCTTTCGAATCACTGGGATCACAGGCATGTACCACTGTGCCTGGCCACCTTTCCTTTTTTCTATTATGAGCACTTATGGATACAACTTTCTTCTGATCATTTCTTTAACTAAAATTAATATATTTTGATATATTTTAATTTCATTTTTTTTAACTTTCAGTATTCAAAAATTTCCTTTGAGACTTTCTCTTTGGACCATGGATTGTTTAAAAGTGTATTTCATTTCCATATTTTTAAATTTTCCTATTGCTTTTCTAGTTTGATGACATTTTTGTCAGGCTTCCCTTTCATATAGGTTGTGATTTTTTTGTTCTTGGCCTGATGAGTGATTATTTATTGTATACAGATAATTTTGTGTATTAGGATAGAAGAGTCTGGTTCCTATTTAAATATTTTATTTTAGCAGGCAGTCACTGGGTTTTACTTTAGCACACAGGTTCTTTCTTACTTTTATGAGGTATGTTTCCAATAACAGTTTAATTTTCTGAGCCTTTATGATGTTAATTGGTCTCATTGGTTTATGTGGTACTGTTGGGGCTCCCATGGATCCTAGCTATTGCTGACTGAGGGTGTGGAAGACATTTTCCTTGAGCAGGATATCTCCTAGTGGGGAAGGGGAGACTCAGACTCATGGGGATGAAGAGGCTTCCTAGGCTAGGTGGCTGGTGGCTTAGTCCCTTTTGCCAGTTCTGCCTCTTCACATAACTTCTGTTGAAGGGAGGGAGTCTCATGTGTATGAATTTTAAAAAGCTTCTGTTCCTTTCCCTTGATGGGGCTGGGTCTCTTTTGCCAATCCTGTCCATTCACCTTGGAATCTCTCACTGAGGTTGGGGAAAGTCTCTACCCCAGCATGGAAGGCAGGTATCTGTCTTGGCTACTTACTATGGATAAATCCCAGGCTAATCCTCTTGGCCAATTTTGTCTTGTTTCTCTGATATTGTAAGAAGGATTTCCATTCATGCAACTTTCTATTGATATTATAGGGATTGGAAAGCCCTGGATCTGAGTAACTTTCTTCTGCTGGGATATAAGACTCTCTACTATGCTATTCTTCTATCCCTGGACTCCAAACCAATTTGCCTTCTTCTTAACATTTTTTTAAATTGGTGTATTATAATTTTACATGATAGTGGGATTCATTATGCCATATGTGTACATACACATAACACAATTTGATCAGTCTCATTCCTCATTGCCATCCCTTCCCACCTTTTCCTTCCCTGGATCCATTTGCTCTACTCATTATTATTTTAATCATTGTGCTGTAATTATATTATTATGTTATCTCTAAGTGAGGAATTCATTGTGGTATATTCATACGTGGACACAGCATAATTTGGTAGATTTTATTTCCCAGTATTTCCCTATTCCCTTCTTAATACTTTTTAGAATTCTCTTTTGGTTGTTTCTTACATTATTTAATGGGTTTGTTGTTTGCAGGGAGGATTGGGGAGAAATGGATCTGTATAATTTTGTTCAGATTGGACCAGAAATCACTTGTTTCTGTACATCTTAATAGCAATCATCATTGACTTTTCTCTCCAATCCTGTAGTTTTTGCTCTGGGAACCAGATGGCTGATTCTTCTATTTATTCTAACAGGGTTAAAGCTCAAAAATGGCACTGGAAATGATCAGCTTAAATCTGTTTCTCCATCAGAAATACAAGCACCAGGATGCAAAGTATCAAAGAAGACCAGAGTGAAAGTTGTCCAGAAAACAATGGGCAAGGAAAATCATGATGATATATACAGGGTACAGAAACAGGGTCGAGCTTTACCAAGGAAGAAAAGAAAGAAACTTTCAACTTGCAAACAAGAGCTTCCAAAACATATGGATCTTCACAGGAAAGGATACACAGGAGAGAAACCTTTTAAATGTCAGGAATGTGGGAAAAGCTTCAGAGTTAGCTCTGATCTTATTAAGCACCAGAGAATTCACACTGAAGAGAAGCCCTATAAATGTCAACAATGTGATAGGAGGTTTAGATGGAGTTCAGATCTCAATAAGCACTTCATGGCACATCAAGGAATAAAACCATATAGATGTTCATGGTGTGGGAAAAGCTTCAGTCACAACACAAATCTACACACACACCAACGAATTCACACAGGAGAGAAGCCTTTTAAATGTCAAGAATGTGGAAAAAGATTTATTCAGAACTCTCACCTTATTAAACACCAGAGAACTCACACAGGTGAGCAGCCTTATACTTGTAGCATGTGCAGGAGAAACTTTAGCAGACGTTCCAGCCTTCTTAGACACCAAAAACTCCATAGGAGTAGGGAAGCATGTTCAGTATCTCCAGTCTGAAAAAAAGTGACTATATGGAATAACAGAAATGATAAAGGAATACAAAATTATGAGACATCCAATGATAGGAAACCGATTATCAACAGAAAGTTTGGGAGAGGTTTATGTTCTGCATCACAGAAAGGAATCTAAGCTATCTCTATTATTCAGCATTGTATCTTCAGTGCCTAGCACAAGACTGGTACCTAATGAGTACATTATAAATAAAAGATTGAAAATATAGGTATCAGATACATCAATAGCTATTCATTTATCTAATTATTCAGAGCTTATTCACTCTCAATGACAAAGTCTTTAGGTATCAGGTGTTAAGCAAATGCATGCTAGTCACAAGTCCTACTGTCATTCTTCATTCTTTCTCAGGAGAAATGGAAAATAAGAGTATTCTAGGCCTCCTGAAGGTAACTCAGAGAGGAATTCTGAACTATGGACAGTTTATAGTTGTGATTCTGTCTCCATGAACAACCAAGCCTAGGGTTCAGGAGAACTTCAATAGTTTTTTTATTTTAAGGAGAACTTTGTAACAGCAAGAGAGGATTCAGTGCTTGTCCTGGGTAAAGTGCTTCTGTTCTAGTTGTCTTTTTCCAGAGTTTCCACCACTGCAATGTCTTTTGTTATTGAATTCCAAGCAACAAGGAAAGGCCTGAAGGCCAAAACAGACCTAGGGTCCTTGCAAGCACTTGAACTCTACCTTTGCCTTTCAACACAGTCATATAGTCTGAAGTGATGATAGAGGCAGTCTGGGCCCTCATCCAAATATCTATCTATTTGTATAAAGAATAGAGCAGTGGTTAATTGATTTTTTGCTTTTGATCATGTACTCTGGAGGTTTTCAAGTCAGTGCCATATTGTTCTAGGCCTATTGAAGTTTCATTTTTATAGCTTACGCAGCCTTAACTCTATACACTTGAATGCTCTACAGGAAGGTCTGAGCATTATTTTACTGATAATGGCAAGGAGAGTCTGTAGCCTCTCTACCTTGGTGCACATCTGACACCAGGAGGGAACATCCAGAAATATCCAAGAAAAGTAAGGTGTGTGGCTTAGAGTTATGGTACCAGTCAGAGCCAAGCTAGATGCAAACTGTTTTCTGATGTAGTTTTTCTTTTTTCTCCACTGGTTTAAGTGATTATCTCATAACATAATATAATGTGAAGGCTGAGGATATAGATGAGTAGTACAGAGTTGCCTAGTATGCACAAGGCCCTGGATTTAATATCCAGTACTTCACCCCACAAAATAACAAAAAAGAAAATGTAATATCAAAGGAAATGGAATTCATGGATTTTTATCTGTGTCAGAGCCTGGATTGTGATGTTGGCCAAGGCTTCAGTTTATTTATTTAGTATTTCTCCCCTTCCCCAGTACTGGGGATTGGACACAGGAACAGTATACCACTGGGGTACATCCACAGTACTTTCTGTTTTCTTCTTAAGACATCATCCCACTAAGTTACCCACACTGGCCTCAAACTTGGCACTCTACCATTGAGCTACATCCCCAGCTCTCCACTCTCTGTGTGAATTCATGTCTGCATCCTGGATAGCTGTTATCACATCACCATTCAAAGGACTGGGTCACACTAAGTTGCCCAGGCTGGCCTCCTGCCTTAGCAGCCTGTGTTTTGTTTGCCACCATGCCCAACCTTTATTTACAATTTCATGCAATTTTACTTTCTAATAAATTTCATGCAATTTTACTTTCTAATAAAAATGAAATGTTTCATATGAAATTTAAGCATTAAACAAAGCTCCTTTTATATCAAACTACCCAGAAATGGCCAACATTGACTTCTTTGAAATAGATGCTTTCCACATTTTTTTCCTCCAAGAGACCTTTCTGAGTCTTTTTCCAGTTTACAAAATAGGGATGAAAATTTATACCTCTCAGGGTTCCTGTGAGGATTAAATGAGACACACATGAAAGCATGCCTAATGAGTAACACAACAGATGTTCTGTAAACATTTGGAACATTCTTCATTCATCTCTCATTTAGTTATTTAGAAAATAAACTTGGTCTGCTTTTCCAGCTTTTAAGTGTGCTTAATAAGTGTTCCATTGTTTTCAGTTTTTTTAGGTCTGTTAGTGATAGAAGGGTCATTTCTGGCATATGGCATTCCCTTCTAGAGATGTTCTTCTTTAGTTAACATTAAACAATAAGCTAATGTCTCATTTCAGCTAGATACACTGCTCATGAGTAACAGAACCAAAATGTAATAGAAACTCTCAACTTGAGATGCCTGAAAATGGAGGGGAGGTGATGGTAAGGGGTGGAAATTTTGTGGACAGAATTTATGCCATTAGGTGCATCCTCAAACTAATTGTATTTGAAATGAAAAAGGAAAGAGGTGACCACATCATAAAATGACCACTAAAAAGAATGAAAGAGCTAAACCAAGAGGAGGAAGTGATCTGAAAGGGAAGGATCCCATTATATTTCTAAAAGCTTGGAGACTGTGCCTTGTAGAACTAACTGAACTTATACCCTTTGAACTAAGAAGGGGAAATCCCACTTCTTGCAGAGAGCTCTACTCTCTGTGTGAACCCATGTCTGCATTCTGGATAGCTGTTACCACATCACCATTCAAAGGACATTCATTTATCAATGTAGCTTTTAGAAAAAGGATTGACTCAAAAATTCAAGGAAGCACTGAGTCAGTGGAGCCAGCAGGTAACAAGTCCCCAAAAGTGGGTCAGCAAGAGGGCTCTCTGTTTCCACTAAGCTGCTGGCCCCAGTTATAATACTTATTAGCTTCAAAGTTCATCTTACAGGTCCTATGTACACTGGCACCATTCCCAGGAGGGGGGGGGGTCACAAGCAAGTAACATGTGGGTCCTGTTTGAGAGATCAGTTATTCAAGGAAAGTGACAGAAAATGATTGCCTTTAGATGTGTCTGGGGAGAAAGAGAAATGAAGTCATCATCATTTGAATAGAAGGGCTGAAGGAAGAAGTACATTCTCATCCCAAATTTGTGTAACACAATTTAGAAGTCAGAGATCATGGTCAACTCATCAATATCCAGTATTCCCTTTCAGCCCTTTGACAGTCTTCCAGGCCCCATTTTCCACTCATCCCTCACTCTTTCATGTAGCCTTCACCATCTCAGAAAAAGAAGGAAAGTCCCATATCTGGAGAAATGGACAATAAGGAATGAAATGGCAGGATGGGATAAAGGGAGAGATGTCATTCTACCTCATACCTGCCTACTACCTCTCCAGCATATGGCTGAGACATGAACTCCATGGCCTTACTGAGGACACAGTGGAAAGACAGCATGCAAAAGCTCAGGGACTGGAAAAGTGCCCAGTATTCATTTAGGGGACAGAATAAAGAAGTGTATGCTCCAACCCCAAATCCCACAGGAGATCCCACATTTCACAGACCAAACTGAGGAGACAGGAGCTCACCTGAACCAGGTGTGAACCAGTCTCTGTGCTCCCGGAGAAGATGAGCTGAACAAAGAGAGGATGGGAAAGCAGAGAACAACAATTCTTTTCCACTCAGGTGTACATTTGTAAGGCCTGAGATTGGAAGTCAAGGGTTTAGGGAGCAGAATGTCAGTTTGTGCTGTGGCTGGTGCATAAGAACGTATCTGTGGGTTGAGGGTAGTTCATACCAGATCCAGGTCTTCACCTTCCCCTTCCCCGCTGATAGTGACATGACTTCTGCCCATGGACTTGTTTGGGTCACTTCCAGCCCCCCCCCACACCTCCTCCTCTTCTTCCTTCACTTTCCAGTTCCCTCTGCCATAGTCCAAGCCTACTCCTGCCATTTTGCCAATACCATTTCCATTAAACAGGAAAGGATGAGGTGCCAGGGACAGGGCCCAGTGAGTGCTACTGTGTTCTGCTGTTTTTCCCAGGGGAATTGGCATAAGAAATGACAGTGGATAGGCATGGCTGGGGAGAGAAGAAGGAACAAGATGGAGTCATGATCTAGTTTTTCCTCAACAGATTTAAATGCATTCCTTGCTACCTCCTCTCTTTATTCCTTGAAAACCAAGACATGGCAGGTAGGTGGGCATGATGATGACTTGGGGAGGAAGTTGCTTCTAATTTGAAGGCTCCCTATAAAAGTCCTATCCCTGGATCAGCAGTGGTTCATAGTCACTCCTCCTGAGCACTCTCCTTCTTTGCCTTCCTTTTCTTCCTCTGTGCCCCGTGTTCCTTAAAACCATTGTGGGTTCAGACTAGGGACATAGCTGTGGAAGAAGGAACAATGGGATAACTCTCCCAAGATCAAAGATCATGAGTATATGAGGGGAGAGGGAAGGAACCATGGTTGAGAGCTGCATAGGGACCATGTTTTCTCAGATTTTAGCAGGGAAAGGAGAGAGGGAAGGAGGCAAGGCCAGCTTCTGGAAGTGAGTTGTGCTCCAGGGCTGGGATTTAGGGAGGTAGTGGAGATGAAGATCTAGGCAACACCAAGAAGGGTTTTCTTATGTTTCTTCTCAGGCTCTAGGTATCTCCATATGAGACTTGGAATGGCATGAAGGAACCGACTAACATGAGGGCTGCAGCAGACACTTCAGAGAAAGTTCATAGAGCATAAACTTTCATACTTGGGGGTTTGTCTATTCAGGTTGTACCCACAGGAATGTATTCATCTACAAGCTTTCCTTAGGGAGGCCCTCAGTTTCCATAAGGGAGTGATTCTGGTTTTCCTTCTTTACCTCATGCCCCATTCTAATGTAAATAACAGGAGTATAGGAGTATAAGGATCCTATTTTGGTGACATTCCCCATGTTAGAGGCTGGTGCAAGTGGTCTCTTGGTTGCTTCTTATAAATCCATTCTTAGGGTGGTGTGGGTTTTTGTTCTTAGAGGATGCCAAACCTGTCTTTCTATCAGGATGTCTCCTCATCAGGGGCTCCATTTCCAAGCTCTTTAAGAAAGAGCTGCTCTTTTAACAGGGAGTGCCATGTCCTCTCAAAGTACTTCTTGTCCCTGTGCCCTGTATGATTGAGAAATCATCCTCTTTCTACCCATTTTCAGATGATAAAGCATAGGGTAGCAAGCTAAATGCTGGATGAGCCTAATGACTTTAGGGTTAAATATTAACTTAATTTTCACCTTGTTCTCATCCATTTCACAAATATGCACATTTTTAAGTGCAGGTACAAAATCTCCACATGTTCCCTTAACTTTGAAGCTCTCTATGCCTCTTTCTAATCTCTCCTGTTTCTGTCTTTAGGATTGCCAACTTTCTTGGTGCCCTTCACATACTCTGGTAGATGGGTCTGCACTAGTTCTGCGGTTTCCCTAGGTAGGAAGCCCTGGAAATGTTCTTGACCCAACACCTTTACCATCTGGCACATCAGTCACCAACCACAAAGTTGGCTTCATTGACTCTGGCAGCATCTGGGGGTGGAATTGAATCAAATACCTAGGATGCAACTCTTGTGCCTCCCCAACCATCAGATATGCCTGATGGCCCTTTGTCACTCAGTCTGCCCAGCACACTCTCTCTCTAAGAACTTCCCTGGCAGAATTCACACAGAAGCCTGAAAAGATATAGCAGGGAAACATAAGCTCTTCCTTCTCTTCAGGGAGATTTGCCTTGCTCTGAGCATTTCTATCTCTTGCCTCATTCTGGAGCCAGGCAGGAGCAGGATCCATCCAGCAACCTAGAGGTAGACTTCACCATGGACACTATGAAGGAGACTCAGCATGATTTCTGAGGCCTGCCCAACGTTCTCATAGGAGTTGAGGACTGCCTCTAACAGTACAGGTGGGTCCTCATCTCTCAGATTTGCAGCTTCTCAACCCCTGTAGGTCAGCAGCAGCCTTGGCACTGGAGGCACAGAGAGGCCTCTAGAGATGTCTGAAGAGCAATTTCTGGGGAGTCTTTCGTCAGCTAGGTCTTCAGGACAAGGGTTACTTGTGCCTGGGAGTACACAGAGACTGAAGGAATTCAGCATGGGAGTTGTAAAGGAATCCATTTCCAAATCCTCACTTCCATATATTCAGAAGAAAATGTTAAAGGAGGTTCTCTTTTCCTACCTACTCATTACTACCCAACTTTCATCACTCTCCTCTGTCCTTAATGCTGCATTGCCTTAGAGTTTACCATCTGCCATGAGGCAAAGTAGATTTCAAATGAACACTAGGTATATAATTTTCCTCTTGACCTGCAAGACTTTGAGCAAATAACAATACTCCAATGAGCCCTGGTTTCTGCCTCCCTGAAGTAAGATAGTTAAAGTTGTCCCACTCACTTCATAGAATGGCTTTTAGGACCAAGTTAGAGGCTGTAAAGTCATACTTAATAACTTTATAAATATTGGAGTTATTTACATCATTACTATTATTATATATAAGGAGTTTGCATTCTTATCTACTTTCACAATTTATTGAGTATAATGAAGAAAGTGTAGATGTTAGTGTATCCTATTTGGAGAGAATCCAATATATTAAACTCAGTAAGTTCTTTTATATAATTCAACAATGCCATAGAAGAGTTCAAACCATGGCCCTGTGGAAAATGGGAGTAACCTGCAGTTTTCCCTCTTATAAGGAAGGAGAAAGGGAATAGAGATGTGGAAAATAGCAACAGTGTTTGATTTTTCTTTTACTCATAGCTTGACTTCATGGATTTAGTTTAATGGAGAAAGGCTCTCTCTACTGAAAAATCAACATTTTTTTTGGTACCAGGAATTGAACCCAGGGATGCTTTACTACTGAGTAACATTCTCAGCCCTTTTTTTATTTTTGATTTTGAGACAGGGTCTCAATAAGTTGCTTAGGGCCTTGCTAAGTTGCAGAGGCT